CCATATTTCCTGTATTTTTTCCTTTCCCCTTTCTATGAGATAGTTGTTAGGAACAGTTAAGCTGAAAGCTCAGGCTCACAGGAGGATGCCTGCTGTGCACACTCAGGAGCATTGGAGGCAGGAAGCAGGTCAAGGCAATGGATTTCCTCCACCGCAGCAGTTGTTCTGAAGAAGAGCATTTTATGAGTGTCCAGAACAAATTCATACCCTACTTTAACCTCATAGTCAACAATCTCTGTTGCTACACAGCCCCTAATCCTTCCTGTCTTGTCACCCCATTCCCATCCTCTCTCGTTCTTGCTGGCAGTGTTTCATTCTCCTTTTATAGGCACCGCTTCATGCCCTCCACACACTGTGCTCATTTCACAAATTCAAACCAGGATACCTAACCACCTTCCTCCTTATGCAGTAAGAAATTGTGGTGAAAATACATCAGCAAGCTTGTGAAGGAATTAACAGCTACATCCAAGTCTTTTGCAAACTCCAGCCTTACAAATTTGTGAATAATTCTGGACTGTAAGACCTCTTTTCATACAATAGGAATACTTAGGGTGTAAAAAAACCCAAACACCTACAGTAATACCTACAAATACCAGGAGCGCAACAGAAAAAGGTAAGTAAATGCTTAAAGCAAAAGATGGACTTACCTGCAGGACAGTGTACATGGCATCCTTCCACACACTGCAGAGGGCACTGCAAAGGCTGTGGGTGTTGGCACGTTATAGGACAAGCAGGTCCACAGCTATTATATCTCCATTCACATTGATAATCTAATTCTTGTTTATTCAGGTCCTCACAGCTTTGTGCTATACAATGAAAAAAATCAGAGGTGAAAAAATTAAACCAAGGTGTATTCACCATGCCTCTCAGAACTATGATGCCAAACTTGGTATAAAGTTGACCACATATACACAGAAAAAGAGAGATTTCCAGGCAGGTCACTTCTTCACAGTTACAACTTTTTTCAGATAATGAAATACTTGCTCTAGACCAGAGATATTTGGTTTTGCTAAAAACAATTGAAAACCCCAAACTTCTTAAGCTTTTATATATACATACATATATATAAGAGAAGCCATTTCTTTCTCTACATTTGTTTGTACCACAGACTATTATATCACTAATTGAGGGAATGTTTTTTCCAGGTATGGTTCTGAACATAAATAGAAAAGGGAGTGGAAATGTCACTGTGAGCTGCCAGACCAGTCCCATTAAAGTGAACTTCTCTGGACATCAGTGGGAGCAAAGCTGGATGAGAACAGTTTATCTGAGCCAACAGCTTACTGATTAAAACCTTGAGCCTTTTCACCCAATTCTTCTTCATCTACCCTGTACTTACGGCACAGAGCTGGTGATCTCCAGTGAACAGCGACACCTTTTTGTGCACAGACTTGTGCATAGGCTGCTATAGCATCACAGAAGCAAGCACAGTCCCCAATAGATTCACAAGCACAAGTGTCATACATGCAAATATCTATGTAGGGCTCAGGATTCACCTACAAAAGAGAAATACAGGGTACTGTACACTCAATGATTCCCTTCACCTCCATCTTGTAGACATTTAACCTCCAGATGATTTGGCTGCTCCATTTGCCAAGTCGAGGTGCCACATGAATCAGTGTAGATCTTTCTGGTGAAGTCAGCAAAGACTCAAATTGAGCCACGTTCTCAAAGTTGCTATAGACACTGCAGTTTATTGTCCCTTAATATTCCCTATATGGAGTAACTTTCTACGGTTTTGGGCCCTGTCCCCATACCTTCTTGAGCAGTAGCTTGGGCAGAATGCAGTCTGAATGGCATTACATTAGTTCAGCTACTCCTCCCCTCAAACCTCAACCCTTGTTCTTGACTTCTAGCCTTTAGAGTAAAATTTCCCTCAAGCAAAAGTTATTCTATAGCTTGCTACTAGGTGGTATCCTGCACTTTCCCATGAAGCATCAGCTACAGGACAGGTTCAGAGATGAGAATGCCAGTTAGTCAGCCCCCTCCAAGTCCTGTGTGCTGTCAGCACAACCATACTTTTCCCCTCAGCTGTAATCAGTGTCAGCACAGATCACACAGAATTGAAGAATGTGAAACACATGAAACAATACTCACGATTTTTTTGCATTCTTCAAACAGATCCCCAGACAAAATGCTGCATGACGTTTCTACCATCACCTGCTTCACTATGTTTCCATCACACAGCGGAGACATCAAAGTCTGTTCCCAGTTGGGCTTAATTTTGCAAGAGACAAGCACACACTGCATTAGCCTTGCCTTCAGGACCTCGAGACTCTTCAAATTGCAATAAAAGACTCACTAGCGCTAGACGCTTTTCATGACAACGGAAATTGTTTCTGTGAGTAAAGTTTCAACCTGTTGTATGACAGGTGCAGAACCTGCCACAGGAGAATGCAGAGTAGAGCAGGTCACCTCCTACAGTTTCTCCAGCTCTTATTTGTACATTGCAGTTTTAACAGATATTTTGATGAGAAGTCCCATCATACTAACCAACCATCCTGAAAAATGATCATTCGCAGCTCTACAGAAGGCCCACAGGACTCACAAATAATCAGTCTTCAGCAGACTATACTCAAGGCCACTGTTGAATAAGAACGGCTCAGTAGTCTCCCCTCTCTCATTTAATTTATCTAAGAACAAGGAGCACTAGCATTGACACAGCATTTATCTCGGAGACAGTCTGCCAGTTCTGTCCTGTGCCTATTACACTGAAACAAAAAGCTGCTCCCTCCTCAGTCTTACCCTGCAGACTCACTCCTCATTACTGCAACTTGTTCTGTGATCCACTCAAGTCATATCAAAAAAGTGACATTCAGCAAGATAATACTGTGGCTATGTCACACTAGTACATAATTAGCAAACTAACCCAAAAGATTTCATGTGATCAAATATAACTGCTTCATTTTATTTTCTGATAATTTAAATCTTTTAAGGTAAGATCTAAAAGGCCTTTTTTTCTCTCTCTGAAAATTTAGACAAATTTTCAAGAGAAAATTTTCAGCCTTAAACACGTCATCTGAATGAAATAGTTCATTTTACAAACATCAAAACAAGTTGTCTTCAAGTTGTTTCCTCTCACTTTTTGATTTGGAAATACTTTGGGCCCTAAGTATTTGTCAGCTCAAGACAAATTTATTATTCAATTTCATTCTTTCAAAACTATATGTGGAAAAGAAGAAGTATACTCTCATGTGTAGCATAAATAGTACCCTGTGAAATCACTTAATCTCCGTCTCCAGGACATAGATAACACTTTCAGATAGCACATAACCTCAAAAATCAGAAGCAGTGTTAGATAGCAATAAGGTCTTACATCCCCTCCTGTATCTTGCTTTTTCTGTTCAAGCCTCTCCAATCTGAAAATAATGATGGAATGCTCTTTAAAAAAGATTGAGAAGCATACAGAAAGAAATTAACCTGCGAATTCAGTTGTTCATAAACGGACAGACTAAGATTTGGGATATAGAACTTTGGTCAGGGAAATACGAAATTTTTATCTGAACTCACCCTGTCTGAAAACTACAGCTGGTTTTTTTCGATTAAGCTCTAAAATGAGATTCCCAGTTATACCTGGATTTCAAGCATCTGGGCTGGCAAACTATGAACAGCCTCTACTGCACAGATCGGCTATTTTAACATTCATCTGAAGCCAGGCAGCTTAAATAAGTTAATTGATCTTTTATCAGATTTCAAGAAATAATATTATGTGGCAAAAATACTGGGGAAGGAGTTAATTTCCATTTATTTTTATCCTTTCAAACCTCTTTCCCACTCTTGAGTGATGCTGTAACCCATATTAATTAGTTTTCACAGCTCATTTGCAATCACCTTTTCAACATCAGCACAGTACGGATTAACTTTCCAAGAATTCCCAAAGTCAACTGGATCTACTTCAAGATGTTCATTGCTGCTGGTCAAATCATTGTTTTGCGTTCCATCAAAATTTCCACACAGACCACACACTTGATCCTTGCAGGGAAAGAAACACAAAATACATAAATCTTACATTTGTAGACTGGCTTAGGGTTTTGTTAAGAAGTTTCTTTAGCCTAGTGCTTTAACAGCATGAGGCTTAAAAACTGCATTATCCCTGCTCTTGCCAAGTTCACTAGAATAGACACAATCTCTCACAGAGAACATTTAGCTTCTATTCCCATTCTGCTTAGCTGAAAGTAGGACCATACTGTCTCCAAAGACTCCAGGAAGCAAGATGACAACTGTGATCAGTGGTGCCTGTTGGCTCTATTTGGAGTATGTCCCTACAATCCCATATTATTTCTCGAGATGACTGTCCTATTGCCATCACTAGTAAATCTGGCTCCTTATACAGCTCTTCTTGAATACAGAAGAAATTGCTCAAGGCATAGTTATTCTGAGGCACCACAGCATTCATCCTTTCTGTCACAGCTCATCTCCAATGACCCAGAATCTACCCCTTACAGCTGAACTACTGGGAAAGTAAGCAACCCTTCTGTTACTACAAAAAAATCCCTTCATTTTCAAGCAAGTGTCTAATACTCCATGGAAATCTATCAGCATGTCTGCATAAAAAAATTCAATTCTCCAGGGACAGGGTAAGTGCATTCTTGAGTGAAAATAAGAAGTAAAGCAAAAAATACTTACTTTGAAATTGCCTTTTAAGATAACTGAGACTCCCATGGACAGATCCCAGGTCACACTGATGCTTTTGCCCAGTAAAATGATGTAATAACGGCCAGACCTCATGACTTCTAAACCATTGTCATCTTTAGGCGGTACCTTGATGTTTACCTGAACAAGAAAAACACACTGCGCTACTGACCGTGTTTCTAATTACTACTTCTTTTAGGTCACTTTCGCAGTGGGACACGTGCTCATAGATTAACAGCTATTTTCAAACATGCTGTCCTCCAGAGAACAGATAGTTCCAATATACTATACAGAGGCTCTAGAGCACTTGCAAAATGGTAAGCAAGGCATGGGTTAAGGACTGATTACAGGCTTGTCTCTACACTGAAAAGTTCATATGGATAAATTATTGCCTTAGAAACAACACATCTGAAGAGCAAGTTGGGATACAAGTAAGATATTTCATCATCTTTCTATAATCTTGAATGTGGCCATGTCCCTTGTGCTCCTGGGGTATAACAAACACTCACCACAAATGCTGACACACAAAGCAATGACTGCTAAAGAGAAGTAGGGCTGACAAAGGGGACAAGGTATACCAAATTAATAATCAGTTTAGCATTCAGTCAATGGTTCACTGAATAATTACATTTTATTTTTATTTCATCTTTTTAGGAAACTAACAATTCTGTGCTCCTGAGGCAGGTAGTGAAAAAAGGGCTGGCTAGGTTTAAGTGTAATTTGAACTGCGAGAACCACATGCACCAGTGGCCTCTGAAGGACCAAAGCCTGATTCTGAAGTCAGGAAGGACTTTCTTCCCAACCACTTACACCAACAGGAAAAAAACCTGAGAGATTCCTTTCGGTGTCTCTTCATTTTTCCATCACTTTCACTTCCCCTGTGTGCCTCTTTCTCTTCCCATCTGGCTGCAAATTCACAGCCTCCAGCTACCAAGAACTTAAGAGATTAATTTAAAATGCTTTCTTTCACACCATAATCCCCTTTCAATGGGAACTCTAATAGGATTATTAACCACATTTGGAGAGAAAGGTCTGGCATGGCTGTTACTTTAGCACCATTAATGCATTAACAGAAAACTGTTTCATTGTGGAAGAGGCAGATGAAAACTTTTAATGAGTACAAATGGTGATTAAAGCAAGGACAAAAGAGGAGCCCACGAACCATTCACCCACTCCCTAGTTGCAGGGCAAAATATTTCCATATTTCACTATTCTTTCTTGTTCAATTCAGTAAAAGCTCAGCACTGTAAATCAATTCTCTTCATCTCTGGTTCTTATCAGAAACATGTATGCCCAGAGAAGACAATTCACATGCTCCAAGGATCTCCTACAGAGGCCCTTTTTCTTTAGGGAAGAATATGTAGAAAGATATTTTAGGAACTGGAAGCTTTTTCTCTTATGCCCGATGTATTACTATACAGTCTAGTCACATTTGATCACTTAACTTCCAAATACAGTAGTCTCTGTCTTTCCAAACTCAGGCAAAAAACAGAGGAGGACAAAGCTGAGCTGGGAGGTTGACCTAAATTACAGAATTTCTATATTTACGGAGGCTTTTTGCTGAACCACGAAGTCATAAACTTTTGACCTTGCAAACCAGTAGATTTATTTGTTTCAGAAAAGCAAAAATGATTTCACGATAGGTTTTTTTTTTTAATGTGAGCCAGAATTGTAACATGCAGATACTTCAATTAAGCTCCCATTTACTTAAAACTAGAAGCTGCTCTCAAAACAATATCATCATAAAACAATGCTGCTTGGCAATATTTAATAGCAAAAAAAAAAGACTTGATTCTCCAGCTGCTTTTAAGGATTCTTGTGGAAAAAGAGCGTAGGAAGTCACCACCGGGTGAGAATTTGCCTAAGAGTCTTCATATCAGATGTTTTTCCTTAATCTCTCCTTTGGTTGCTGTTATTTCTAAGAAAACCTGCTCTAGATACTATTACAATGACCTTAAAACTGTCTAGAAAGACAGCTAAATATTTGGTCAAGATGATGTGGACAGTCTTGTGATAGAGACCTAGCTCTTGTAAGGACATACTTTCTCAGGAACCAAACACCTTCTGTTCCTGGAATTCCAGGATGCCTTATCACCTCCTGTTGTTTCTGGCCCTTCTTCAGGTGTCCAAATGGAATCACAGCTTTTCTGAAAATACGTCACCTAAAAAAGCTTTCAGACAAAGCCTGGGTCTATGCAATGATCCCTGCACTATTATGCACCCTCACCCAAGTAGTGGATTCTTTAGCAGTAGAAATAAAGAATTGGTTGGGTAACCAATGCATCCTATGTTCATTCCTCCAGCAACCAAAAGCCTACATGGATCATATGCTGTCAAGATGCACTGCACAGACATTATTATTAATGGCCATGTTTTGTGTGTTCCTGTCAAGTATCAGTGGCACACAGCAATTTGCAGGCAATTTGCAGGCTATGCAAAATCTGGTACAGCTTTGTCTGTTAACCCAAAACAAGGCAAATGTAGGGTAGTTTCAAGTTTCACTGGGAACATTTTTGCAAATCTCTGGTCCAGATGCCAGTTCAGAGCACAGTACCTCTGAAAACTGAGCAACCGAAACACTATAATCCACTGTAGCTCTGTAATGTTTGAACACACAGGCAGTCTTAATTGTTACAGTGCTCAAGGCAAAGAGCTGAACTCTGCCCTTTGGAAAGCTTGCTTCCTGCTGTGGAGGGACATGGGAGGTGGAAGTGATTCTTGGTCAATTCTTCAGTGTTTGTTGGTAGGCAAGCAGGAAAAAAGAAGAAACCAGTCATCTGGATTTTCCATCTGACAATTTAACAGAGGAAAGGATAGTTGATACTCGCTTCTGCAGTATCAACTTGTTTGAGCCATGACTTCTTTTTTGCCTGTGTGCTCAGTCCTTCAGATGGTTAAATAAGGTCTGAAGTTTTACTAGTCATGGGGCAGTCACTTCTTAGCTCTTCCTTGCACTTAATGTGGCTTGAAATAGACTTAGACCTCCCATGTTTAGAAAGCACATTCCCCATATAAGCTTGCATTGAACAGCATTGTCATCTGAGATAAATTTGTTGGCATCAAGCAGAAATACCAAAATGGCATTATACCTCTGGGAGCAAAATGGATAATTATAATCCTACTAATCTGTTCACATCTGATCAAGAACCACTGAGCATGAGGTCATTCATGCCTCATCTTACTAAACAACCTGAAACTCTTTTCCCCAAAACAGGGAAAGAAAGAAAACAGAAGTGTACGTACGTTTCCGTTAAACAACTCTATTTCCCCACTTTCATACAGAATGACAACCCTCTTGGTGCACTTTTCTCCAGTGAAGCCACAGCCTTCATTTGAAATTAGTATCCGGAATGTTCCAGAGTTATCCTTGCAGAAATCCTATCAGATGAAAATAAATGAATGAGTCATTAAGGTGGAACATTTGAAAAACATATACAGATCTATGGAGAAAAAGGAAGCCTCAAATAATACCCTGTGTAATCTATGGCCAGTAGGGTATATGTTGGCATGCCAACTGTTCCCATATTAATTTAATTTGTGCTTAGCATTGATATTCATGTGGTCCACCCCTTCCTTAAAGAATGAGGTATACTCTGCCTGTGACACACACACGTGCATATTTTGCAGGGTATTCT